TTGCATGTATTTTGATAATCATTGATGTAAGAAAAATGGGGTAACTTGTTTAAGTGAATTTTAAGTACTAAAATGCAGGATTTTGGGTGCCGGACCCCCCTTACTTGGCTTCTATTATTTTTAGGAAAGGGACACTTTCATCTCTGATTATAAAAGAACTGTATGATGAAAGCTTACTGTTAGGATAAGCTCAATTCAATTACACTGGAGATCTAATAATATATGATGTTCAGTCTTAAAAAGTGTGCGAAAAAACCCAACAGGAATTGGACAGATAAAAATTAACATTGTCTAGTTCCAAATGGTACATAAATTCTTTCCTGAAGTGTAAGAGCCTGCACATTTAATGTGCAAATTATATTGCAATCTCATTTTCAGGTGTTTAATAAGAGTTTGAGTATACAAGGTCTAGCCATACTTTTATGCTTCAGTTGCAAACAAGGAAGGATTGAATAGAATTTGAAATAAGTATACTAATAGAGGACCATTAAAAAGAGAAAACATACTGATGTGTCAGAAACATTGTTGTCAGCATGGACTATAAGGATTGTAAGGTAGGTGCAAATGCCAACAATGTACATTAAGCCACTTTGCAAAACAAAAGATTACAACAAGCAAAATATGCTTAGAGTTTAATGGTAGATACCTACAATCAGTTCAGAGATAAGCTTAATCAGATATGATGGTAGAATGATATATACAAATTATTCAGCATTTTTACAGAAATGCACAACTGAGTATGAAGTGGTATAATGACCACAAACTGTGGACTCAGATTCAATGATGAAAGATGATCTAGTTAGTTGAGTCAATATATATATATCTTTTTTTCTTATCAAACATATGCACAAGAAAGAGTAAAACCTAAGTGTATTGTTTCAATTGTAAAAAAAAAAGGTCCTGGTAAGATATCTCAGTGTTGAAACCTTTCAACAACTAGCTGCTTTGTTATTAAGCTCTATTAATGATGCTCTAAGACCCATTGTTGCCTAAAAGTCTTAAACTTTTTTTAAACCAATCTTTGTATTTTCTCTCATCTATTTGTAACTTCTAATTCCTTTTAATGTTACAGAAAACACAATGTCCAAATATTTTTGTTCAGAGTATAAATTATGATTAAAATTGTGACAGAAAATATAAATTATAACCAAACTTGGATTACTTTCTGTCCTTTATAAACACACCAATTCAATCAACTGAAAGAATTATGTTCCATAAATAATTGTGCTAGTTAAACTAATAATTTTATATTAATTTGTGAAAGGCAGAAATAACATGCTATGTAAAAGTATAGATGACACAAATACTTCACTATCGATTATTTGTAGGCAGATTATCTAGTTTATTATTTAACTGTGCAACAATCCAGGGAATCCCACAAGCTGTTATATATCAGTGTAGCTTTGAACTACTTTTGCTATAGTTTCTATTAATTTTTGTTAGCCATTCATTTAATCCTTTTGTTTTATTATTTTTATTGTTTTTTTTTAGTGTTGGTGTCATGTTTATTAACCATTAAGAACAAAATGCCAAAATATAATTGAATTGTACTGACAATGCAATGAAAACCTCAGATTATTGAAAAAGAGTGAACAAGGTTTAACAGTGAAACTATTGAAACTGCATTCTGCAATTTTAAAAAACAGAAGACAATATTATTTTAAATAATTTTAGCAAAGCCTATCACGTATATTATATAAACCTTTTTCATATGTATCATGTAAAAATTTGTTATTCAACTTTAGTTTTCCTTAGAAAGATATATTTATACGTAAACTTTCTGTGTATACGTGTGTGTGTTTTGTATTATCTGTGCTTTTGTCTTATCCATGCTCTTCCTTCCCCTCCATTACCCCTGGGTAATTAAGTCAACTGCATACATTTATACAGGTCACACCTCCTTGTCCGGGAGTATCAGCAGCAAAATTGCAGTTTTGGAATATAAAAAAGAAATTGAAGAGTTCTCAAAATGTTTATATTCGTTTTAATAGTGACAATGCCCAACAGAGTGACTACCTTTATAATGCTGCTGGATGCCTTGTTAATCCTTTGTAAATGTTTCTCCATTCCTCCAGAAACTATCTAGATGTTTTTCGTGGCTATTATCAGAGACACCTGCTCTGATGGGCAAAATGGTCCGTGAATCATTAGGAATGGTTTTTCAAATGATGTGCATTACAGATGTAAGATTACTGCAACTACTATAAGGCTTTCTTCAATGCCTATCTTGAAGAGGAAAATATTGCAAGAATAGACTGGCCAGTATTTTCTGTAGAACTCACTTAGGATAAGCTTTACAACAGAATAGTAGAATATCCATAAATCTTCGGAGTACAGACTCCAAACCTTCTGAAAACCTACTCAAGGGGTAACTAAACTAAATATTATTTTATTCAAGTCCCCAGCAAACATACAGCCACATAGTACTGCATAACAGTTTTTCTATAATAATCATCTCAGTGAAAGGAATGCTGACATCAGATATACTTTGTGTGTGTGTGTGTGTGTATATGAACTTATGTTCTGGTAATTTACTTAAATTTAAGAAGGACTATAGTAAAATTTTTGGGTCTTGACCAAGTCCTTCAGCATACAATGTGTGCAAGCCTGCTTCTCAGAGAAAATATATAGCAGGGTTGCTATGGCTGCTTGGGGTGGTCATGCTTACTATTATGTTTGACAAACACTCCAAAACTAGAGATGATGTTTGCATCAATGGATCCAGTAGTCAGAAAATATCTATTTGACTAATAATTTGTAAGCTATAAACTAGTTGTTATATTCCAAAACATATGCTAGTAACTTGTTAATCCTCAATATATTTTACTCACACAGAAAAGAATGTAGTGACGAGAATATAAATAACCTGAAATCCTATTAGTACAAAAAAACAATTCACAAACTCAGTTAAATACTTTCTGGTATTAGTATTATGTTTGTATTGCATACTAGTACATTAGTTAACAATACCTTAATCTAAAATTAGATAGTAATTTTAACTGCCATTCTTTGGATCAGAAACAACTTAATACATTATTATTTAAAAAATGTTTTAAAAAAAAGTTACATAATATATCTTATGTTTTTTCTACCTTGGGATCACTGAGGTCAACATCAGCTTCTACATGAATCCAAGATGTTCCACAACCTTCTTTATCACAACATCCTTGGGCTTCTTCTGTTTCTTGTCTACAAGCATGAAATGCCATTTCTAAAGCAGATTCTGTACTTGGGTGTTCTTGGACTAATTCTGGCCTATGTATTTCTGATTGTTTTAAAGAAAGAATTAAAGATGTTCTTTCTTTCTCACTCTCAGCAAGAAGAGAATTTAAGTGCTGAATTTTATCCGCCACAGATAAATCTGGAACATTTTCAAAGTTAAATGTTACGTTTTCTTTAGGCATTAGCAAGTCTTTAAAATTATATTTTCCTTTTTCTTTCTTTGGAAAACTATCTTTTTCCAAAGGCTGATTACTATATTTTTGTTTAATATGTACATCTTCTCTACTTTTATTTTCCCATTTTGGTTTCTCTTTCAAAAAAACCTTAATATCTTTTCCTTCACTTTCAAACTCTCTTCTAAAACCATATTTTTGAGAGTTCCTTCTAGTTCCTGGACTGCCATTTTTTCTTCCACTACCATTTAATCTGGAGTGAGATTGTCCAACTTGTTGTGCTACTTGATGTTGAAACTGTGGATATTTGATATTGCAATCTTTGTCTTTCACTACTTGTTGTCTTTTATCAATGTTCTGCTTATCAGAAGAGATAATGAAGTTAACTGAATTAATACTGCTGTGACTTCTACGATGAGTTGGGCTCTTTGTTATAATTGGAATCTTACTTTTATCATGTGTGTTTAATTTTTCTTTTTCATGAAAATGGATGGGGCTTTGGAAGTCTGAATTTCTGAAAACAGCTTTGCCTCTGGATTTTTTGGAGGGAATTTTATGACTTTGTTTTGAAACCACACACAGATCTTGTGCAGGAATTCCTTTTACATTAAGAAATTCTTTTGGATCCTTTACTTCCACAGAAATATTTTGAGCTATTTTCTTGTCTTGCACTTTAGAAGGAGTTTGTTTTCTAGAACTTTCTTTCCTGTAAACTTTGTCTTTCACCTGTTGTAAAATTGTACTTTTACTGTTATGCAACTCAGATTCAACATCCTGATGTGGAACTTCTTTGAGAACTGATGAATTTGACGTTATTTCACAAGGATTTGAGGCATATTGTTGTTCACCTGGAGCTTGAAGTTCTCTTTCTGAAACACAACTATATGAAACATCTATACCTGTGTTTTGGTGTGTATCCAAATCATTTTGTTCTATATATTTAAATGGTTCAGAGTCTGAAATATTATTTGGAGAGTCATTCAAATTAGTAGCAAACTGTTTTTGTGCTAACATTTCTAAAGAGATGTTTACCTGCTGAGAAACATTCACCGATTCACCTTGTAGAATAGCCTCTGGATACTCATCAGATAGGCTTGTGAGCTCTTGTTTTCTTACTGACAAATCTTCTATAAAACCACCTCCTTGCTCAGGATTTGAAGAATCTCCATGGCCTTGTATGATATGCTTTTCTAAGGATAACAGATTTATTGAAGAACTCCCTTTCTCTTCTAACATATTTACTGTTTCAGAATTTGGTGAACTCTTTACAGAATTAACATAATTTTTAGAGCACTGCTCTTTTAACGTCGATAAACTTTCTGTAGAGCTTTCTTTTTGTTTCAGACTGTCCTCTTCTTTATATTTCGATAAGTCTTCAGGAGAACTATCCAGATCCTTAGAATAAGATTTTTGTAATAAGGGCATTATAGTATGGCTTACATGTTCTATGGGGCTCGCTGGTTTAGACTTTGGTAAAGTTTTTGGGGAATCATTCAAACTTTTATTGGAACCTAGAGGACACAGTCTGTAAAAGTCCCTATTGAATTCAGATGTGTCAGTTGGGATAACTTCATCATCACAATTCTCCTCTTCATTTACACCACTACTAGGTTCCTTATTTTGCATTTTTTCATTAACATCAGACTCAGTTGATTTGTTCATTCTGTGCTCTTGGTGATTCTCATATTCACCTGTGATATTCCAAGTAACTTTTAGATTTGGAAGTGACACACTTTTAAAAAACTTGGGATAAACCATTTTCTTATTAATTCGCTCATCAAGTAATACTACAGAATTTGCCTTGAAGCTGGTTGACATGCTTGAGTGGCAAGATTTATTAAATTCGTCATTGTAAGGAGAGTCAATCATATCTTTATAATTTTTTTCACAAGTTGGAATGTCAGTCAGTTTGGGATTGGAATCATTATTTGTTGCAACTAATATGTGAGGTAGTTCTTGCTGACCAATACTATCTGTCCATAGTGTGTTATTCCACAATTCCTCTTGGTACACATCTTCTGCCACTGATGATTCTTCCTGAATTCTTCCTAGATGAATCTTGTTAAAATGTTCCTGGACAGGAAGTGTTAGATCCCAACTATCACAGGCAGGTTGGCTGACATCTTCAATGGATAACTGGAAAGTCCAGTTGCCAATTTCTTCTTCATCATATGAATACAAGTTCTGGAAATTTTCAAAACCAATATTTATTTTAACATACCATAATTTAGTTTACATTAGTCAGTGAAATGAAAAGGAGAAAATATGGGTATTATGGTTCAGTTGTCCAAGTGCAAGCTTCAACTATTCAATCTCACGCCGATTTCAAATAACCAAAATGTACAGTCAACAGACTTTATGGTAAGAAGTACATACATATATATAACAATTTATTTTTGTAAAGAAAATTCTTTAAAATTTTGAAACAATTATAAATTTTAAAGCAAACATTTTCTATAAGTTCTGATGAATAGTGAAAATCAGAACATTGCATTCTGAAACACAAATTCTTATTTTTATAGCACTTCTTACTTCAAATAAATCATCAGAAGCTGCAACTTTTATTTTGTTAACATATAAAGAACAATACCCACATTATTTTTATGTCCCGAAAAAACACAGAACGGTCAAAGCATTTTTTATTCTGAATACCCACGGGAATATTAAACTTACATTTCAATTAAACACAAATAAAACCCAAATATATTATTCAACCCAACATTCTGGCTACGAGGTATTGTTCTACACATAAAATAATATCAGAAAGCAGAAACCATTTTCCAAATAAGAATGCAAGAGGGTGCAACAATGATATTGCGTAACATACTGACATGATTATTTTACTCTTTGACAAATATCACATAACATACACATGTGGTCGTAAGATAAAAAAGGTATACACAACTTTTTTTTATAATGAATATAGAAACATAAGAACAGTTGACAACGTAATACTCATGTATACACAATAATACAAGCACTCTGGATACTAGAAATATTTCCAAATCTATCTCTGTATTTGTTCATTCATATCCTCATATAAAACTATTTCAAAACTGTGAATGAATAATGCTGACTCATTTAAGTCTTGTGTGTAACAAGTTACAATTTCAGTTAAAAAACTGTTGAGTAGCATGTTACAGGAGCTGGCTGTAACTAATACTCGCAAATGGTTTCTTGGCTCTAATCAGTAGCACTTCTTTATATTTCCTGTACAGAAAGTTAATTGCTCTGTTTGATTTGCATAGGTGGAGAAAGACAATGTTTCTCACAAAAATGTTTCGCAACAATGCTTTTTTTTCAACTACTTCTCAAATAATTAACACACAAATATTCAATACTACAATAAATATATATATTTGTTACACTATTGACTACTAGCTGGAGTACCCTTTCCCTGGACAGAAGTTATGTAATATCCTGATGAATGAAAGGTTATCTTAGGACAAGAAAAGTTGCTTCACTTATATAAAATTGTAAAAAACACCCATAAAAGATGCAAAATACAAAATGTGTAACTGCAAACTTGCATGTAGCTCCACATGAACCTAACAAACCTTCATGCCACATTTGGTGAATATCCATCAACAGAGGGAGAAGTAGTGGTAAAAAACTAAAAAACACCCATAAAAACCACAAAACTGAAAATTTTTATGTACCCCCGCATGGACCTAATGAACCTCCATACCAATTTTGGTGAAGATCCATCCACAGCATGAAAAGTAGTTACATGGAAATACAACAGACAGTACTATTATATTTATATAGATTCTCATTTTATATCTGGCCTATATAAAAACCAGTATGAGTCATGTCACGTCATGCTTGATTTCACGAAATAGGAGTTATAAAAACCAAAATGCATTTATCCAGATAGAATAGTTCAATTATGATCTTAGTGATGGGGGTGCAAGGGAGCCATGAGGGTGTGTGTGTGTGTGTGTGTGTGTGTGTGTGTGTGTGTGTGTGTGTGATGCTGTACGTAACCT